CAGCTTTCGTCACCCTCAATGGTGAGGATGGGCACCGAACGGCGTCATTTAACATGGAGTACTGGAATGAGCGATTCCGTATGCATCCAACATCAGTCTCCTTTACCAGATTACACCTTTGAAGATGTCTTTAAGGTTTGCTACGCAATGAGACAAGTCCTGAAGCACCATGCGCTTTGTTAAAGGAAGCAGAAGAGCTTATTCGGGAGTTTGGACATCACTGCAATCATCATCAAGCTCCAATGTAGGCATAAAAACACATTTGTAGGTAAGAGTTTGCTCAACCTTTCTGGTCTCCCTTTCTAGGAACACAACTGTCAAACAGTTGCTCAATGTTCCCTACGATATTCGGCATCCAATATGAAGTAGTCATTAAATTATCTGTGGAAGTGATCGCTACTTTTTCCATTTTTAAATAAAACGCTCTGAGCTTCCTAAGTGTCCCAATAGCAAGGACTCAAAAACAGTTCATTTCACAGTGGTCTTCTAATACGTATTCATAAGTCTCAGCCAGTTCTATTCCCTTGAATGCGTTTTTATGACCTCAAGTCAAGCAGTGAAGCAGATGAGGGGGCTTCTAAGGAAGATTTCCAAAAAGAAAAACTCTCGGGATGCAACAGGGATCAGAAGATTCACTACTCCAAGCCACGATCAACTTGCATATGCCTTATTTATAGGTACACATTCGAATGTTAACAACATCTGAGAAATTCCACTTCCAGAGCTTCCATTGCCTGTTGTTCAGGCGAACTCACACATGGTGGGAGAGAAGGGGAAAGGGCTAGAAGGGCAAGGTTGATGTTGCATAATAGTAGTAGTTGCAGTAGTAGAATATAATATACACAATGTACATAGGCGTCTACTGTGATCTGCGCAAGGCGCGCAAGCTGCTTTCCAGTGAAGAAGATAGGAAGGTGGAAAGGATAGGTGAGGAAGGAATCAGAGCCACGAAAATGCGAGTACTTTTCTGGTGCTAACGACAGGAATCTTCGAGGCAAAGAACCTGCTGGTTTTTAGTACCAGGGATCAGAAGAACAGAGAAATAGGAGTAGGAATTTGTACACAAGCAAAGCTGCCTCCACAGGTGCGAATCAATACGCCTGTGGTTCCAATTTGATGCCATCATCCGCCACTGCCGACGGAGCGTAGAACACGCTATGAACACTGCCAGAGGTGGCTGGCTGGATCGAAGCGTAGCTTGTATGGTGACCGATGGGGCAGCAGGCAGTGCTGTTATTTGTGGAGTTCCGCACTACCTGATATTGGCCTGGATTTGCCACCGTCATCTTCGGAGGTGCCAAAGGCGGTGAAATAGCCGTTGGACTGGGCGACGACCAATGTGCCGGTGACTCTGTGTCCGAACTCGGAGTGTGGCCATTCATCGTTCCAGCCGCTCCTACAGACATTGACGACTGACCACGCACAGTCCAACTCGCGTCTGTGCTACCATACCCACCGCCACCACCAGCTGAAGATTGTGTCAGGCTCTCCAGTCCTGAAAGTTGTGGTGGCGGTGGTTGGTCAAAAAAATACGCCTTTGATGTGGTGAGAGCACTAATGTCCCTCTCATCACTTGGCGCTGTTGAGGTGGTTGTTGTGGTGACAGCTGTGGAACTGCTGCCGCTACTATTCGTTGTAGTTGCGGTCATTGTAGTGGTTGGCGCCAGCTGCATTAAGAAACTCTCCCCTCCACTACAGATAGAATAGTCTGGGGGCTCGTACTTATTACGCTTTTCATAAACGGGACCGTCGGAGTAGACGTTCCTCACAACTGAAGTAACAGGAGGGGGTCGATAGTATCGAGGAGGGTTTGCTTGTTGGAAGAAGGTCGGTTGAGGATAAGGAGCGGTACGTCGGACGTAAGGTTGCTGTTGGGCGGCGTTCGATGAAGGCTGTGGCGGGTGAGGATTTAGGGGTTGTGAAGCAGAGGAATAAACCTGCAGGAGTTGTACCACTTCTGTATGTCCATTTTGTGCCGCTAGTTGCCGAGGTGTGCGGTCTAGATAGTCTGCAATCTCAACGTTGGCACCAGCAGCGAGAAGCATAGAACAGGCCTCCACAGAACCCTCACGAGCGGCCAGAGTAAGTGGCGTTTCCTCGTGCATAGTCTGAACGTCGTGAGAGGCACCAGCGCGAAGAAGCAGTTGCACCATCGCCGGTTGCTCCGTTACCGCAGCCCAGTGAAGAGCGGTGCGACCCTCTCCATCGGCAGCATTTACACCAAATGAATTGGCTGATAGGCCACCACCACCAGCAGCCTCCTCTGCATTCCCAGCGTTCATCACTGATGTTGTAGGAGTGGTAGTGGTGCTGGACGGAGTAGTGGTAGAATAGAGACGCGGGTAGCTTAGTCTAGGATCGAGTGCCGTAGGACGTCGATTTTGCATCAAAGAGGAGGAATAGCTACTCATTCCAGTTCCAGGTGGAACCATGGGCAATGGTGCTGGTTCAGGCATTAGGCTAGCCATTGACTGCAGCAACAACTCAACCATTTCTATCGAAGAAAATTAATCATTGTAAGGTTCGAAAACAAAAAAAAAATAAGAGAGGAGGAAAAAGCATACCAATATCAGCCACTTTAACAGCTTGAATAAGCGCAGTAGTTTTATCCTCAGTAGGACAAGCGACAAAGAGACGTGGGAAATCGGCAGCAACTTGACTAGATACAAGAAGGGCACGTGCAGCGTCCACAGCGGAGGCATTAACAGCTGTGAGAAGAACACTGTTGCCCTGTGCATCCGCAGCAAACGGATCCGCGCCTGCATCCAGTAGTGCAGAAAGCGCGCTTGCACAATTATAGCTATAAGAGGCGGCGAATGTTGAAATTTCTCGATCTTAGCGAACACGCCCCTATCATATAGACTTACCGAGCTGCCAGATGAAGTAGTGTCTCTCCTGTATCTGGTAAAGTGCTGGACAACAGTTGAGCCAAGAGAGAATGGCCGTGAGATCGTTTCCCAGGTCTCTGACCAGTGCTTCCAGAACCACTACCACTGTGGTATACTGCGGGTGCATCCGACTGATGCATCTCGATATTGCGCAAATACTCCAATTTCTGCATAAGCCCTTCATTGAAGGGTTCTGTAAGACCATCACCGCTCACCAAATGCCCCATGAGACTCATAAAATAGGCTTTAACGTCTATCTGCGGCATTTGATTAGCAGTGGCCATCAGCAATGGTGTACTCGACGATATATCCGCTGCAGTAACCACCTATAATATTTCAATAAAATAGTTACTATATTTTTTTAATAAGTAGTGGTTTGTTACAGTTTGTTCGTACACTTCCGTCGACATTAGTAGCACAAACTTGTGAAAATCCCGCTGATGTGGAGGGTGGAGCCGGTGGTAGGGGATAAGGAGAGGAGCGCATAGCCATTTTTTCACTGACCACAGCGAGTGCACGTTCTCGTGACCATAAAGGCAGATGAGAGCTGTGCGGTGTTGCAATGGCACGAGAGCGGGCGTGGATGCCCAACGTGGGTGAAGTGGTGGTCGTCCCACCACCTGCAAGAGTCGTGAAGCCTCCGAATATTCCACTGCTTCCGCCACCACCACTGCCCTGTTGATGTCTGCCCTCACGCAAAGCGGAGTTACGAGGATACCAGATGGATGTTGTCTTAATCTGATGAAAAAAAAACAGTCTATTTAACCCAAAATTTAAAGCTTCTTTGAATGTATAACGCATTGATCAACCTTTTTGATGAGATTCTTCTGTCCATAGCCGGAACCAGGTTCCATATCTTGAGCCTGCGCCCGACGTTGCATGATACCATAAAGAACGCCAATAAGGGAGACCAAAATTAGACCGCAAATGAGACCGATAATCCAATAGACCAGAGTTCCAGGCAATCTCAGCCCCTGAAATACGGTGTCACCATGACCGTCACCTAACGAGTTCTCGGAAAGAATCTGTTGTAGCGCCTCTGGTGATGCTGTTTCTACGGCTAAAATATCTACCGGCGGTGTGTATCGACGAGTTCGAAGGGCGGCGGAAATGAATTGCGCTGCTGTCTCCACTTTATGGAAACAACCCTCACCGTCTATGAGGACATAGAACACGTTTGTTAATTAACTACACTTACATATTGCAGGTATGCCCAAATTATTCACACCACTTATCAATTGCCTACCAAGTGACTGACAGCCAGCATCCTGGACTTCGAAAAATACTCGACTTCCAATCCTTGTCTCAGGAATCTCCCGACGTCGTCTAACAACTGGACTAATAGATTTTACCGAAGAGCTCGATAGTGCAGTGAGCTGGGTAAGCAACTCGCCCAGTCTGGTAATTGCACTTGATGACTGCCATCCTCTTGTCTCCTGGTCGATAATAAACTGGCTTATGGAGACATTGACTCCACTGCCCGTCTCATGAAGGAACCAAAGGGGGCCCTTCTGAGAGCCAATTCTTGAAGTGGTCAAATGAGTAGTGGTTAGAGGCACTGGGTAGACCATAGGAGCACCTGTTTTCGGTTGCTTTCGAATGCGCAGAGTCACCCGCAGAAGCGCTTTTAAACCATCGATAATTTGCCGTTCTAGATTGCGCTTAGTCCCGTTTTCTGGAAGTAACTGGGAGGGAGGAATAGCAAAAAGGAGGATAAGGCTCCCCTCTACCGGTTTCTTGGGTCCCGTTTGAGAGTGCATCCGGGAAAATGTTCGACCAACATGTGTCTAAACGACGAAAACACAAAATACACTCATCTTTAATTTTGAGAGAGTAGAGTAGATTTAGCGGAGAAAAACAACAACGCACTTGAAATGGTTCATCACGGCAGTCCCAGCCGTCAAATAAGCAGGCTTCAGAATCACACTCGGGATCGCATTTCCCATCACCAAACCGGAGATGGCAAGGTATTCCTTCCTCTTGAATAGCAGTGCAGTTTGTCCAAGGTAAAGCCTTGATCAGCTTGTTCTCATAAGAGGTGAGTGGAATAGCGGTGGATTGCGTCGAATAGAGGCATTCGCCAGCATCGAAACCACAAGCAAATCTGTCGCACTCAGGATCACAGCGCCCGTTATGCGCCTTGCGTTTACATTCAGCCAATTCACAGAGTCGAGCTTCAGCTGCTTCTCCGGGCCAGCGCTTAGGATCTGTGCTGGCTTCCAAGGCACATGCGAATCCACTAAGCTCACAACGTTCCCCACAGTAGTCTAAACCCGCATGCGAAAAGTAATTCTATATAGCATTCGCTTACAATCAATAGGTGTTTTTTTTATTGTAAACGAACCAGGTGGACACTCGCAGGTATAGTTTCCGAGACCATCGATGCAATTACCCCCATTCAGGCAATTTCCAGCGTGTGCACACTCGTCCATTAAATCCACCTCACAGTAAGTCCCTCCAAGACCTCGAGGACAGATGCATTTGAGTCGGCTACCTTCGCCCATGCAAACTCCACCATTCTGACAGACATTGACATCATCACAGCTAGGTGTACGTAGTTCACAGCGTGGACCGCTGAATCCGGCAACACACTGACAAACGAAAAATTCCTCCTTGGAATAGGTGAAGGAAGAAGAAGACGTTTCAAGGCCTTGGGGTCGATTCATGCAATGGCCACCGTTAAGGCAGACGTTCTAAAAACAAGACAGAGGATTAAAGTATTAAAACGTCTAAAGCAATGTAAGATCCTTCTAATGAAATCGGAGAGGAGCAAATGCCTTTAAAGACTTGATTCGAAACGCAAATCTTCGGAAGGAATGTTGCGATTCTTCAGGTCACAGATTCTAGCTTTGGGGATAAGGGGAGTTTTTAATGTAATAAAAGTCGCGCTTAGTTTATTCTGCTGAAATTGATAAACAGGCTCCAAAATTGCCGAGATTCTGTAGATGGATCTCATATCTTGGAACAATGAAGGAGTCTCAAGTCTATAGTGGAAAATTAAATGCTGTGAGAAGTTAAATAAGCGAGGATAAGCGTAAAAGCGAGCCAAGTAATTCGAATGGCATTTTCAATTACCACCAGAACCAATGAGGAGAGCTTTTCACGAAGGATTAGGTTAGGGGGATTCAAGAAGGCCACAACTACAATCTTGTTCCCTTGGCTTCATCTCGTTCCACATCTAATAACAACCGAGAGGTAAAGATGACTAAGCCTTCATATTATTCAATAAATTAGCAGTACAGCAGGAAACAAAGTAAATTGTTGTAAGCAACCCAAGAAACAATAAAACGACTAAAGACATTTTTCATGTGCTAAACCTCGTCTAGCGAGTTGTGTTCTAAAATTTATCCCGTTTCCCCGAGATTAGGTCATTAACTTAAGATACATATGTCAAGAATGGCTAAAAGGCTTCTATGTGAAAATTCGAAATCGACTGTACAAGTTGGCTGCCTTCATGTCCCACGAGTTGAACTGAAAAGACAAAAGGGAACAAAATCGTACTACTCAGATCCTAAATTCCAAAGCGTGGAACTCAAAATTTGAGTCTTGTACGAAGAAATAATCACTTTGACAAAACCAGAGTTCGAATTTCTAAGGCCTAATTCAACAATACGAAAGCGTCAGAAAATACAGAATCCCACTACCCAGACGGATTGATTAAACCCAATCAATAAGAACTCCAACAAATCTTGAAATGTTATCAAAATAAGTGATTATTTCGAAAAAAAATGGAACAAACGGCTTTTTCAATGTCACAGGCTGAACTTATTAGGTCCAAGAAGAGTGGATGCAAGCTTACCAAAGTGGGGCTAAAAAGACGTCCTACGCAAGGGCTGAAGAGTGTACTCACCCCTCCACCAGCAAGCCGAAGGCTGGCCTCGGCACAGAAATCCCTCCACTGCTCGCAGTAACGTCCCTCAAAGCCGTGACGGCATTGGCACACAAAGCCCCCGGTGGTGCGCTGTGGTACACATTGAAGAGTCCCTGGAGGGTAGCAGGGACCTAAGGTGGTACGGGAAAGATGCAACGAGTTCAGCATTTCTGCTGTCGTCGACGCCGCCATTGCAGTGTCTGCGAGGAATGCTGTTGTGGCGGCAGTAAGGGAAAGTGTGTGCTTGCTCCCTAAAAGGCGGCCTAGGCTGCTGACACTATTTGTGTCGGAGTTGAGATTGGACTCGAGGAGTTGGTGGCAGAGGTTTAATGTCACCTCGCAGTAGCGGCCGTAAAATCCGGGAGGGCAGTGACATTCCTCTACAATACTTCCGCCTGCACAGTAACCACCGTTCTGACAGGTCTGGAGAGAGAAGGAGAGCGAAATCATTGATCATTGGCACTCGGACATTCAAAATTGAGGCTAAGGAAAATAATTAAATTGATAATTAAAGGAGAGTTTGCGAACCCAAAAGCAGTCTTATAGGAGCCCAATTAGACGCGTTTGATATTAATTAAAAGAAATCTACGAAAATAGAGGATACCAGTGGCATAGTGTTCATTCCATTTTCATAAAATGAACTAACGAAGGTTACACGTGTAGGAAATTATAAATGACTGAAGGTCCAACAAAGTGGCTTTAAATTGACAACCTTGTAAGTGTCGAACTCTCGCTACAGGGCATTTAGCAAATTTTAGCCACGTGCTTGAGGGGTACTTAAGAAAATAAGGCCAACTAACAGAGAACTCAGACGTCAATTCCGCATGCAAAAAACGACAACAACTCACAATTTACTGGTTCACATAGGTGTGAAGATGGAAAGATGGAGAAGAACAACAAGGGGGAATAGAGAGGGCGAAACAATGGATGATGCAAGAAACCTTGACGCAGCGGTACTTTTTATTCTTTCCACAACAATACGGAACGCACCGGCACACAAGAGATGAATAGGGTGGAAAAGATGGAGAAGAAGAACATTAGATTCTTCCCTCCTGCTTCACATCCATTTTGTGTTTTTACGCGTCGCGGGACTAAATACACTTAAACCTGTCAATTACAAGCTCATTTTTTTCCGTAATACGATACACCAATGTAGATAGGACAATGGACAACTTAGAGAACGAAAAAAAGGTCAGGTCAGAAAGTGAAATTTTCAACTAAACGATTTAAAGTGGGCAATTTGAGTCAAGCATGAGTCACTGACCACGTGGGCGCCAGTAGCGATGGCGATGGCGATGTCGTCATATGACCCAAAAGTTCACACTCGCCCACACACACACACACATAAAGGCACACCAACGCATTGAAAGTTCGTGACCTTGGTGGCGAAAATTCTCGCAACTTTAGATCTTATGACTAGCACAGTCTCTGCATGCACTTCATGATTGCATCCTGTGGCACACAAAGAATTTACCCTTGTGCAGGAGCTTTCTCATTTTAATCGCCTTGCCGTCAAATCACTTGTCGCCTGTTTGCCGATTCTGTCGCTGATCCGGCCCTCCATATAGATTACTGCGAGGATCAAAGCTGTGTAAATGACCAGAATGTGCCATCAAATTCATAAAAAAATAAAGCAGAACAAAGTGGCTGACAATCTACCTGCTATCCACATCCACAACGAAACGAATGATTGAGGTTACTGAACACTGGCAAATTTGTTCTCAAACTCGGTCTTCCAGGATGGCTATATGAGTTTAGCGGAGGATTAAAACTTCGCTAGACTACCTTTTCACCGAAAATATCACAGCGAAATTCTGATATTTAACAGCTCAATAAGCCAGAGCTTTACCATAGTGTATGGCTAGGCGGTAGTAAAACGATGCAAAAGTAGCAAATCAAACGCCAAGCGCCATTTGCTGGAGGTGGCGCATGTGTGACTCCCCACTGCCTTATCTGAATTCCCACGTCACACGATTATGGCCCAATTAGCTAGGAAATTATTAAAATGAAGAAAAAAAAATGCGACGAAGCCATTGGTTTCATGCGCGTAGAGGTCATGTATTCTTGAAGTAGGCAGAAATGTGTAACTAATCAAAAGTGATTAAACGCTGTTTAAATGAGACGCTAATACCAAGATTGACACATTAATATTCACTACTCGAGTTTGAACAGGCACTACTACTGGCTTGACAATGAACAACAACGTGACCACGGCTCTGGTACCTGCAGAACTAGTGAGCGTGCACGCATGGAAGCCAATGTGACTAACCACTTGGCCAGTTTTCACATGCATACACATAGAAGAATGCAGAGTGAAGAGAAAGGCATACTTGGTTTGAGCAGGGTGAAAAGGCGAGAGAGCGTTCACAGTGGCGTCCAGAAAAGTCAACAGGACAGCGACAAGCATAGGAGTCAAAGAAGGCCATACACACCCCACCATTGAGACAGGGTCGTCGAGCGCATTCGTTCTCTTCCACCTAAAAAGCATCGTATAGACTATTGTTTAGGCCAGTACCCAAGAACCCTACGATCTACAATTGAGTGGACGTGGACGAGTGTGTACGCATGCATGCGAATAGATCCATGGGAACGGGAAATAAGACTCCGTTTGATTTCTGCCGCCCATTTCCCAAAATGCTGCACATGAGGCTGCATGTATATACGATAGATGGGCGGACGGGTAGGTGGGTGGGCAAGCGGGCAGACCTTTTGAACTACAAATATATACGCTTAAAATTGGAGCAGCCACTGCAATATGAGAGCAATTAATTGGGCCAGCTAACTCAGCGCCACCTTCCCCATTTTGAACACAATATACAGGTACAGAATAAGTAGATAGGTGAATACATGACGTATGCGTAGAGAGAATGGAAAACGCGAAACATCCAAGCACAAGCAGGCCTAATACGTGCTGTAATCAGTTATCACGATTTTGCAAGCCACAACACACATTTAAATCACGTATTCTGCTTCCAAGGCCAGGCCTAGGCAGAAATACAGACTTAAATTCTTCTTTGGAACAAATTCGGAACGTAAAAGCGCAAACTTTTCTATCACATAGAAGTTACCGGAAAGAGTTAACTCAGCAATAAAAGCATTACAAATCCCAAGACGTGGAGAACACTGAAGAGTTGATTAGCACCCCTTTTTGTATGGTCGAGGTAAAGATTAGTATCAATAACTTTTCCAGCACCCTTAGTGCATCAAACGTACCGTAGATAACTTGATTTGTCGTGATTTATGCGACGTTTAAATCGGTAGTCTTTAGGTGTCTGTTGCATTGCTTCTTTTCCGATTTTCCTAGCCAATTGGTTGCAATAACTAACTGGTGTTACACACACTGACGAATAATTATAAGACCAGCGAATGTGTTCAAATGTATGCACATGTTTGCGTGCCCTAGACTGACAAAAGTTATGTGGAGATTAATGTTGGGCTGCCAATGTCGAAAAGTGAATCCGCAAATAGCACAAACTTCTGAAACCGCTTCATCCCACAGGAAAGGGGCCACGGCATGCATATACTTATCTGCACTTTTCGCTGTCGATGCTGGTAGTGTTGTGGGAGCAATTGTGCCGCGTCTGAGGAAGGAAGCCAACAAAACACTCTCAAATAGACGGCTAGTTTTGCTTCAAGTCTGGGAGTTAAGAATGCCCGAGTGGCCGTAACAGGCAATAGGAGATGGGAGGCTTGAATACTCTGGCAGTCTCACAAACTATGGTGCAAGAAGTTTGTGATTTTGATTAAGAGACCACAAGAGCGTACTAGAAAAAGTGTTTCACCCGGATAAATAACTTGAATGTAGAAGC